TTTGAGAATGAGAACACTAGGATTTTGAAGTGCCTTAGTATCCTCCTCCTACACTTTAGGTTCCTTTTTTCAAATAAAGGTGGTGTCAGGACAACTTGTGATTGTTCCACTGTGTACCTATTACATCCCACCAATGCGGCTTAGACAAATTGGACGATATCTTCTGCTCTTCATCTTTTTCAGCATTGTGGAATTCAATATTTGTTAGACACTTTGACTATCCAAATGACAGTGGGGGAAATACCCTATAAAGCTCATAGGCCATAGCTGGAAGATATTGCAGTAGTTCCTTGATATGATAATGATGAAAAGAAGAGAACAAAATGTTGTAGGTGCCCTCGTAGTTATCCTTAGGTAACATGAATGATTCGAGGAACTGACCTCTTAACTGGCACAAATATTCTTTGGTCGTTTTTGCATGTGTCATACTTGCCGCCATACATGCTGTCAGATATTTATTATGAAATTCAGTACTTCTCAGGATCATGTTGTTGGCTCCATTTGGTTAATCTGTGTGTTATTGTTTGAACAGCCTTGTTGCTTTAGATTTTTATGGTAGTACAGCATTGCAAATGGATTTGTTAATCCATTTGATTAGAATATTTGGCCTTATGATTAGTATCTGTGCTTCTTCGTTCTTTCGTTTCTTGTTGTAGTCCTTTTTGTTCCCTCAACTTATTAGTGCCAAAGCCCAAAAGTATATGAAACTCTCTCTCTTTCTGCTTCCCTCTCTTCTGCATGATCAGAAAAGAAACAGAAAACTAATTAGGATATTATTCAACAGTGTACTTTAGCTGAAATAAGCTGCTTTGGTATGTTTGTCACCAATTTTTGACATGAACTTGGCCATTGACGCAGGTCGCTCTACCTGTTAACTAATCATATCTGATGTTCCTAAATGATATTTTTAGCACATCTTTCTACAAGTTAAACAAAAAAAACACCTCTATCTCATCTATTTAACAATTTTCCGATTTCCCTCCAATTCCAGGTGAATTATGGCAATTTCATGCACGGGTTGATGAAGGAGAACGTACAGCTGAACAGGAAAGTCTTGTCAGAACTGTCGATGCACGAACCATACAGCTTCAAGGCCCTCGTGGATGTCTCTCGCAGCGCTTTCCCTGGGAATAAGAAGTCCATAGTACCTCCAAAGAAGGAAGGACTTGCTGTTGTTCTTTGAATTAGTTTCCTGTGTTGTGCTTTGTGTACTCTTCTTCTTCTTCGTTAGGCATAATTTTGTGCTAGCATTTCTGTTAGCAAGTCTCTACCAATGGTATTGAAGTCTTCTGTTTACGACAGTGCTTTAATGGAAATTTAATTTTATGTTACTACTCTTCCGTCCACTTTTATTCTGTTTACTGTAATAAAAAATTGCAAAACATATTTCACTTGTTAAATACTGTAATTATTTTCAGTTCATCTTGTAAACTACTTTATTACTTAAATGAATTATACGTATTAAATTATGTCATTTTTTCCCTAATCATATTATATATCAGGTATAAAAGAGAACTCTAGCCTACCTACGTGGCGCTACTACAAATCAAAATTTCCTTTAATTTATTTCTTTTCAAAGATATCTTTTTCTTTCACGAAAAGTTGTGATTTTTATGAAAAATTATGACTTTTACGAAGAATTGTGATTTTATAAAAAATTGAAACTTTTATGATAGGTTATAACTATTAAAAAAAATACGTGTTTTGCAATTAGTGTTTTAATACGTGCTTTGCGAGTAAGGATTTTCAAATAATATGGCTCAATGGAACTTTGATGATTGTTAAAAGTTTTTGGAATACTTTATTTAGACACCGTTATTAAATCTATATCACCCTTTAAATATTTTTATTTGGCTATACACTTCAAAATATCTTCCTATATGCGATGTGTGGAGTGAGAAATGCTAACTACATACAATTGAAATCTTGAACTTCAAGTAAAAATGGCTGAAGCTTACATATCGCTGGTGTTTAGGCAAAAATAATTGAACTTTAATAATATGTGTATGAAATTTGAGATATTTTATTTGAAATTAAAGTTTAATCTCACAAAATAATTTTAACGTGAACAGTCGATAAGCATGACTTAAATGGTTCGAAATTGAGCATCCATGCCTTTCGGCCTGATGAGTGAAGCCCATACGGCCCAGAATAAATTAAAGCCCATACGAACTGATCCAATAAAAACCCTAGAATCCCTAAATTTAGGTTTAGAAATAGCGCCTTTCTCTTCATTCCAGTTCCTTCTTCTGTTGCCCTAGCCTCCGCCACTCCCCATCCCCTTACCCCTAATAACTTCCGGCGACAATGGTAAGCTTCTCTACTACTGTTGTGAGTAGTGTTGTATGTATTTTGAGAATTGAGTGCTGATATGTTTGATTTTGTTTGCAGGCACCTAAGAAGGAAAAGGCTCCTCCACCGTCTTCCAAGCCCGCCAAGTCCGGTGGTGGCAAGCAGAAGAAGAAGGTCATACTTATTTTCACATTTATGTATTTGTTTTGTTGGTAACTAGGTAAAGTTTGAGTTTTTAATGGTGGGTTTTGAATGTGGAATTGCAGAAGTGGAGCAAGGGAAAGCAAAAGGAAAAGGTGAACAACATGGTTTTGTTCGATAAGGGTACATACGACAAGCTTATCACTGAAGCACCCAAGTATAAGCTTATCACTCCTTCCGTCCTCTCTGACCGTTTGAGGGTATGTGTATTCTTTTAGCATGGATCTAGTTATTATGTATTGAATATGAAGTGTGTTTTGTGCAATGTGAATATGCTTGCTTATAAGAATGAATTTTTATCAACTGTTGGTCATTTAGATTAGTTATTGAAATATATTGCTCAGGGTTCTGTGTGGTATAGTTTGTGAAGTTGTCGAATGATTCTACGGTGTTTATATTTGAATAGTTGTGTTTTACATAAACTAACTCAGCTGAAAAGCATAGCTAGTGAATTGTGGTGTTGTAGATTTTCAAAATACTCGGCAGCAGTAGTGTACGAGTCTAGCAATAGTGTATGAGTCTAATGATTTAGTTCTGGTTGAGTCGCAGCAGACAAGTTTGTTTTTGGTTTTTGGAGTACGCGTACCAAATTTCTTTGGTTTAGTCCTATATGGGAAAAGCAAGCTCTCATATGGTGAAATTGATACACTGAAGCTGATTAATCATTTTCCAAGTCTTGTATAGTTGTTTATGAAATTATTTTCTTGAATGGTAAAAGAATTAGATCAAGATGTTAGATTAAACGAGGAGCCAAATAAATATAGTTCAGAGATATTGTTTAGGTGGTGGACTTGCTGTTCTGATAACCAACTTTTTTTAAAAAAATCTGGAAAATTAAGCTAGATATTCTGGTTTGTAAGGTGAACAAATTAGTGCTCTTTAATAACATACCCATTGTAGTCACATTTCTGAAATATAGAGCCTGTTTGAATTGGTTTAAAAGTTAGTCAAACTTATTTCAAGTCATTTTTAGCTTTTGGAAGTGTTTGACAAGCTTAAAAATAAGTTTAATTTAGTTTAAAATAAGTTAGAAATGTCTAGGAAAAAAATCTAAAAACCCACAAGTAGGTCTTCCCTTGGAAGTCATTTAAATTGCTTTTTACTTTTGGCTTGAAAGCTTACTTTTTTGAAGTCAATCCAAACAGATTCATAGTTTTTGCCCTCAAACCAAATACACATTCCTTTTGTTTTCTTTTGGAAAATAGAAAATAAATTATTATTTGGAGTTATTTTCTAGTTTTACAAGAACTTGTATTTTGTTAAATCTAGTGCACTACATGCAGTGCTGACTGCTAAAATGGAGTTATTTTCCCCTGCTGCAAGTTATTCATGAATTTATGTTTGATATTTTCTTCTTTAAGACACTCAACACTATATTTTCTTCTCTGAGGCACCCACCACTAATTTCTGACGGGAAAAGCCATACGTTACATTTATTATATGAAATGTAAATCCAATCGCTCCGGTTGGTTCTCTAAATATACTCACGTGGGAATCGTACATCTGTTAATCCAAATTTCAGCTTGTGCTCTAAAGGATTGTTGTACAGTTGCTTTTGTTGCGGATAGATTGTTGATATGCTGATGATATTCTCATGCTAATATAGTTTGTTTTGATTGAATTTGCAGATTAGTGGATCCCTTGCCAGGAAGGCAATTAGGGAATTGATGGCTAAAGGTTTGATCAGGATGGTGTCTGCTCATGCTAGCCAGCAGATTTACACCCGAGCTACAAACACCTAAGGCTTTAATATTTAGAGTTTGTTGTTTATTAGCCTTCATTTTGTTTGAAAACACTATGTTTAGACAATTTTGTGCTATGAGTTGAAGATTTGTTACTCATTGAATTGTTGGGCTTCCGAAAATTATGCAACCTTTTGCTGAAAATATTCATGTCCTCCAGGCCTCTTTTTGGTTCTTAGTATTAAGGTTTATGAATAGTGCATTGAGTTATTTCTATATCGTACAATATTAGTTTCATATTTCCTAATAAAATTATTTGCAATGCTTGGTTTAGTTGGTGGATAGGTTCAATTTTATACTAAGATAAGTTTATGACCACTCAATTTATTCTACAATATTTTTTTACAAATTTCACGGATAACTTTCATAAACTGCATGAACGTAGTTTGTTCTGAATCTGTAGATAATAATAAGCTTGTGTTTCTCCATAAAAAACCTTAAGAAAGGTTGTGTATCAACCACTCCATATTTTACCAACAATCTGTTATTTTTGATAAGTTATACAACTGAAGTGCTCTGTTTTGAAATTTACTCCGAGCAATTAATGGAGATTCTGATTAGTAACACAATAGAGAAACTTCTCAACCAACACTATAATTTCTCTCTTGACAGTTCTAACTTTTTTTACAAGATATGGAGGAATATCTAGAAGTAAATACAACAGGATATAAATACAAGACCTGCTGCTTTGCAAGACACAAGAATCAATAATCGCAGCGGATATGGTTATAGATAACCAAGATATTGACACAGAATGCATTGACCTTGGAAAATTAGAATTCATCAACCAACAGTGCTGCACGCTTATCTTCTTAAACTAACAAAACGTAGTGCCAAACGTTATTACTCAAATTTCTGACTCGATATTCCATACACTTACTAGAACAACATTTTGAAGGAATCACAAGGCAATTACGAAAGGACAAGAAAGAATGTCTACAAACAAGCTCAGAGAGATGGTATTTAGAGAACATACGCCCAGCGGCCACTTTGTAGCTCTCAAACGAGTAGGCCTATTCCGATCTATCTACACTCAGATAAACATACAGAACACCACAATTACCCTGATTTTGCCCAGCTACCACAATTCTATTTTAACAAAAGCACTGCTGTTTCTACAAACAGTAACAACATACTATGGTCCACAAAGTCCTTGATATTGCATAGATCAAGAGGCATTCTCTGAAGAAGCGACCTTGTCTTTTCCAGACTCGAGATTAATGTTGACTTGAGATTTATCACCAGTTTCATCCTGTTTCTGCTGATTATCAGTTTCCTTTGCTGTCAGGAAACGACCTCCACATCCTCTAGCTCTTTTCAATGCATGCAAATGTCGTGATTCATGCAAGTAAGGCTGCAAGATTATTTTGCACTGTGAGCCTCCCAAGGTATTCGTGCTGGAAAAACATAGCCTCAGAAACAGATATTAGAACTTCTAATCATGGTGTAAGGCACCTTATTACCAACTGTATGTTATTGGATCTTGCAGATGTTTCCAGCACAGTTGATAACCATCTTTGAGCTATTTATTAGGGAGTAGAAGACATTATTGATCAGAACCCATAACTTTCGACATATACATATTAATCATAGAGAAAATGGATTTTTTGCTTGGAGAAAGATCCTTAATTACGAATCGGGAACCGAATCACTCTGTTCTCCAGCAACAATATTTTACTTTATTTTTAAAAAATGCATCAAAATTATGTTTCCCAAAGATCAGAGCAATATAAACTTTGATGGGCAATTGATCAATCATATAGAATATAGATGTTCTAGAATTAAAAGCTTTTGTTGCATCAGAACCTTTGTACAATGTAATGTGAAACTAATATGGTATACTAGTAACTATTTAGATTTTTATGCGTAGCAACTGTAAATAGAGGAGATTATAGTTACAGTCCAGAAAAAATATACATTTGAGAACTTGCTCTACTGTCTCTCTCATGCTCTGCTATCCACACTTCACTTGCAGTATATATTATTAGTAAAGGAAATTTTATGGTTTTGTCGTTTGATTGGGACTCATAAGGAAATCCAATCATGATATAAAATTCTGTGTAACAAATATGATTGCAACATAGAACTCTACATTACTAAATTGCCTTTATATTTCCAGAATTAAAGTGTGCACTACTAATATTGGCCTAAATTATGCAGAAACCTATGTAATATTTTATGTGGGATATATTGAGAAAGATGCTCTCATAGTAGATATCCCTGAATAAGAATCCCTATATTATTTTTTGATGTGTAACAACCCTCGCATCATTATTCACTGCATAATAATTTCTATATATTATTAATGGCATAATATTTCATATATATAATTCTAAAATAGCTAATAAGTGAACCAAGCGACCCCTGTATGTGTTTAAAATAGCACTAGAGATGCACAGACACTTAAAATATGTTCATCACAAACATGAATCATCTGGGAGGCTATTTAGCACTTAACAGTAGGAAGTGATAAATCAACAGATGAACCACAAACAAGCTGTCAAGGTTGCCTGTAAATTGCAATATTGGATACTAAAGCAACATAGTATAACAAATAAAAATACAGAAAAATATTTTTCGACAAAATACCTTCCTAGCTTTCAGAAGTTTCTTTTCTGACTCAGCTTTCGCGCGAGATTGTCGACGCCTCAAGATGCCATGATACTGTTTTGCATTAACAAAAACAGGTTCGTCTATCGCATCTGATGGCAAAGGAACACCCGCTTGTTGAATTCCCATTAGCTGAATGTGAACCTGACAGAAAATGACACAACTAAGCTCTCAAATTCATAGGGATATTTCATAGATGAAGTCCAAATGAGAAGTGTTATGAAAATGTAATACCATTGGTTGTGCTGGATAAGGTTGTGGAGGATAAGGTTGTGGATCATACGGTGCAAAGATGCTCCTATAGTATGGGTCTGGATATGGATAAGCTGTTTGAGCCTGCAACTAATGAAAAATTGATGCAGATTTATTATCCGAAAAATAGACTCGATATAACCAATCACAGAGCTTAAATATAAAATTAGTAGGCATAGAAACAGGCTTCAAATATTCCCCAACTGGTACCTTAAAGATCTGCAATCTCTATCAGAAGCCTCTAGTTTAAGGTGTCCAATAAAAATAAGTGTCCTACTAAGAATACTTAAGATTGCAGGTTATTATGTGTGCCAAATGGAGGGAGGGAGATAAAACATCCAGCTCCAGGTTAATCCAGGAAAATCTTTATGCAGCAGTCCAAACAGGGAACAATGGATTTACAATTTTAGCACTAAATTCCATTCACAAAGCTGAAAAGATGGCAAAATTTAAAAGGATTGCATTTTAAAAGTGTTTACTATGTAACTAACTATATGCTTCAAGCTCAAGCTGCTGCATAAAGAGTCTAGTTGATTCAGATCAGCTTATCCATGGTGTTCAAAGAATTCTGCTAGTGTAACCCTCCTATAGGACAAAGACTTACCTTATATGAAACTCTAGGCCAGTAGACCTACAAGAAAATTTTAGCCAAATTGTGGCAAGTGCAGTTGTAGAGAGTGACAAACAGATCGAGCAATCTGAAAACGAAGTAATGCCTAGAGAATTAGTTATAAAATAACACAAGCTTGTAAAACAGGATGTTGCCTAAAACAGAAATGAGAGATTATAATTGAAGTGTTTGTGTCTAACCCAACCATACCTGATTTAAAGACCAATCAAAATACCAGAAAACAAGACCAAAATGGAAATCACTCTCCGTCCCAAGGTCTCTTCAGTTATGATTGACAAACCCAACAATGATGGATTGTAAATATCGAGAAGTCATGAAATATCTATTCTTAATGTTACAACATCACCATTCAAAAACTTTATGCTCTTTGTATAAGCACACACTAGAAAGGGTACATGTGTTTCTTCTCACAACTGAATGTTCTTATTAGTGGTTCTAACTTCTAACTCCTATCTAGAGAAAGTCATCAACTAATCAAAAGCAATAAGCACAAAAAGGTCATTCCCTATCTTCAAGAAATATACAAATTTTCCTCATCAGAGACTAACAACCCTTATTATATCCGCCAGGTGTACAACATGACAATCTATAAGTAGAAATATTTCCATCCTACTACTAAAAACATTTGGAATAGTAAAGAAACTTGATGCATTAATATCCTTTTCTTAGGTTCATATTCACCTATTGCTTTCTCAAATAGTCTGAACGACCCCAATGTATTCAGTAATGCTATCTAACAAGCAACTTTCTTCAATTTATAGGTTCGGTGAAACATCCAACTAATCATTCATAAATCTAAAATAATATATTTTGCTTCATATGAATTTACCTCTAGATACAAGAATCCATAAGCACAATCATAGCTCCATTATGCCCCACATTAAGATATTTATGATCAACTTGGCTTTCAGGCTTTTGCACAACCAACTATTTGGGCAAGAAATATATGCGGTTTCATGTTGGATGTTACAAATGTCAAAGTGGTGTCTCTGCTAATGAAGAGAAGAACGATATCACATTCTAATTATAGCCAAATATGAACATGTGCACTTCATCTCCCAAAATAAAGAAGCCTATTAACAAGTGCAAAATGATAATATTCACAGAACCATCGTCAATATATCTACATACCTATTACAATCAATCAATTCTTCAGATATTTGTAACCTATTTGACTTCTGACAATACCCCTAATTTATTCACGACAGCAGTTCTATGATAACATCTGATCGGAAGAACAAGAAGGCGGTTGCATCTATCAGCAAGAATAATTATCAAGCAGAAGATATCAATTCAGGACTTAATAGTGATTTTCAGAAATCGGTCATTAGAAGTTAATTGGTGCTTCAAATATACCATAGGATTTCCATTCCCAAGTTGATTGGGCATAACATAGTGCATATTTGTTGTTACAGTGCCAGGGACAGACATTCCAGCTGCAGGCGATGAAGACTCGCTGTGGGCTTCTGATTGATTTTCTGACTGTTCATTCTCACTACCATCTGAAAATTTATTGCATTAACATAAGCATTAGAACCTTTTGTTCATGTAACCAACATATCCAATTCACTTTAAATTCCTACTGCTTTTGTCTGAGTTCACTGTGGTTCTTAACAAATTGAATGTGAAACAAAAACATCTGCAGACAATAATTTATTTTCTTCTATCATGATAAGTCCAACTCGTTTTGATAAGTCAAAACTACACAATGAAGGGATCAAAAGAATGTATTAAAAGATAATCAGTTCAATCAGTGTCATCAAACAAGTACTCCTGAACTTTGACTACCTATAGATTCTTCGCTTTACAACAAATGAATTATCTTGTATATATTTTTTACATCTTTTGCGATTCTAGAATATTATCCTAGTTCTTTCATCCAAATTAGCCGAAGGATGCAGAATAGAATTCTGCCAACTGCCTTTATCTTCTTAATAATCTCTCACAAGACTTGCTAAAAAAAATTCTTCCACAATAGTATGGAAAAATTCTCAAGCAGCACATTTGATGTCATGAATGTGCTTCATATCAGTAAACTGAAGGAATCACAACAAAAAATGTGCCAGATTGTACTAGCAGGAGATGAAGGGTTTGTATCATACTATTTGTGTAGAAGAGCAAGTTACAGACATCATTTAGTAATGAAAGAAATGTGAATCAAGCTAACTTCACAGTCAACACAACACAGTTACGGACTTGAGAAACAAATCTATACCGCCAACAAAATAGTATACTAAACCCCCATAAAATAACCTGAATGATAATGAAGCGAGGACGTCATAATGCTGCTTGCCACAGAATCTCCAAAGTAACAAACCTATGCAGTTAACAAAAGATGGATCAGCAAAATAAAAGTTCACTCTGTCCCACAAAATATACATCCAGGAGCATAAAAAAATCATACTATAAAATTTGAATTCAACCTTCAGATATAATGATCAGACTTCTTCGATTGTCATGTGTCAACATTTCTACACATAAAACCATTTCCTTCAAATATCCATGCCACAAAGCCAAATTACTTGTGAAATTAAATCAGATACATTCCACTTCATATTTTTCATCTTTCAAACTACAAAAAGCCTTAAATTTATATGATTTTCACATATTCCGGTTCAAACCTCAATTAACTATGTAAGGAAAAAAGTTTTAATTATCAGGGAAACAACAAATAACAGAAATTGCCAAGCTCAAATCCAATTTTCCATTCCTTTTGAAATTTCTTCATTTTCTTTCTGCAAAAACATGTAAATCTAAATGAAATTCAATTAATCATACAATGAGTTAACGAATTCAGCGTATTACATCTCAACTTTTTCAGCATCTAAACTCAATTTCATAAAAAAAAACAAAAAAATTAAAAAATCAATCCAAATAACAGGCGTACATCGAATTCACCGTAAACAGCAACTGAACAGTGAAACAGCTCAAATATGAACGCAAAACACACAAATTACGAAGCTCAATTCCTCAATTTTCGATTCCAAAATCCACTTTACTAGTGGATTTTTAAATAGAGGAAGAAGAAAAATTACCTTTCGGGAAGAGCTTCGTGTATACGAAAACCAATAAGCAGCTTTAATTTTGGTGTTCTCTGTTGAATTTCCTTCTCTAGAGAGAGCTTTACTACGTGTTTGTAACTGTTACTATTCTTTTTGTCATCCTTTATTTTCTGAGAGCATAATTAAATTTAGATTTATATGATATTTATATTGATATTAATATAATATGATTAAATTTGAATTGGAAATCTCGTTTGAGAAGATAGATCTCAGATATTCTATCATAATTCATCTTATCTTTAGTTTTTTCTTCTCTTTTTTAATACTAATCACTAATATAGAAATTTAATAATTTTGATTAATTATGTAAAGTTTATCTACAAACTTTAACTAAAATTGATTAATTTAAATTCATACAAGGTAAAATTATAATTTCGTAGATATAATTTTCGTAAATTAAATGAATTATATTCTTGTTACATGATTTATATTCTCAATTTTCCTTAAAATAAAATAAAAGCTGTATTGGTTTTATTAAACTTTAAAATGGAGTGAATAAAATAAATTATCCTACAGAAAAATACATGTCTCATTAATACTCAAAAGTCAAAATTAGCCTCCACTAAATTGCGTAATTTTAGGGTAACGGAAAAAAGAATTTAGATAGCATAATATAATGCATAAACTATAAAAAGAGTAACACATGTTATTTAATATCTTTAGGATTTTATTAAAAACAAAAATTTATATAAAATTATTTTTAAATTTGTTTTTATATATTATAAGAAAAGGAAAAATGATAAACAGAATATATGTGGCTTGGAGTGAAAAGCCAGAAGTGGTCCAAATCTTTGGCCGGGAAAAAGCAGTTGCAATTTTAGCCAGAAGTTTATGTGGGCCCCTAGATTGGTATTGTCAGCTAAAAATAAATACAAATTGTTTTTGAAAATAAAAAAAAAAGAGTAGAATAATGAATTCAATATTGATCACGTTGAAGTGGATTTGAACCTTATAAGACAAGTGTCTTTAATTAAACTAAAAACAAAACTTTTAAAAATGAACAAACAAGTGCTTTATTTACTTGTCCCCTTTTGGTTAAACTAACTTATTGAATTTCAATAAAGAGAACTTTCATGGATACAGATTTTTTACTGTGACAGTAAGTAATACACAACCTACAGCAAGACACATTCTACAAACTGACGTAGGCCTTCTCACTAATGTATTTTAATCATGGACAAAGCAAAGAGAGGTTGCTTCTTGTTCAAGAAAATACATTGATCAGAAGACTTTTAACTGATTGCTAGATAAATAAAAACCTACTTCTTGGACTAAAACAGTACATCAACTGCTACAACTACAAGTGTACTGCTACAATGGACGTCATTGTTCTTTCCATATCCTACCAGTAACTCTGAGCTTCAGTTCTTTCCGGTCTCCACCAGAAAAGAAGAGCGCCATATTACGCTGAATGATGAGGCCATCAAAACTGTCTCGAACCTTACGGTAACTGTCCCTGATGCTTCGAGGTACCCCTTGCCAAATCAGCTTCCTTCCGTTGCCTCCTACTTCAAGACTGTAGCTAAAGTTCTTTGCTGTTTCATCATCACCCATGAACCGTAAAAATGCAATATAAACTGGTGCCATTCCAAGTTGAAATGCTTCGAAGTGTAAACAGAAGTACTGACCAAAGCAACTGAAAACCTGGAGGAAAATTTTTTATGACGTATTCAGATGTAAACACACAAGGTACAGGACTAAACGTTTAAGCAATGATATCTGCTAAAATCATCTAAAGCCAGTGTGTTAGATTCCACACAGTTACAAGGGAAATGCACAAAATAAGTTGCATCATAACATATAACTAGTTAAGTATAGAACAATCCGACAAGCCTCTGAAGCTCATTCTCTTCGTCATAAATAATCTATTTGCCCCAAAATGACCTGGAGCAATAGGGAAATTCATTGGGCCTTTAGCTGGGTAGCCAAGTGCGGAGAGGATGAGCCAAGTTATATACTTAATAAGTTGCATCATAACATATAACTAGTTAAGCTGACTTCCAATTACTAGTACACTTATTCTACCTACTCACCCTAGAAAGAGACCCCAAAAAGGCATGCAGTGCAAAGATGGAGGTTGCTCAAAGTTTGTCCTGGCTAAGGTTCTCCCCAAAAGAGAAAAAAATCACAAAAAGGTTCCCTAATAAGGTCAAATTACCATGTCCCTTGCTGTAAATATGATGTCAAGTATTTCATCCTCCAGATTCTTAAGGGTCCCCATAACAACAACCATTTTGAAATGGGCAGCCAAATTACAAATCCACTGAGATAAGAGTATTCAGTGATTCGGACTAAATATTTAAGGATTTCCGCTTATACAATCATGCAAATCGTTAACTAAAAGTATAACCATGAAAAAAGAAAAGAACCCACAAAGCTGCATCCCACATCTCCCACATTCTATGTTCTCCAAAATTATGGGCAAGTAATACGCTAAAAGTATAAAAATACCCTGACCATATAATGTGACCCATAAAAACCAAAGAATACTGAAAAATTTTCACCAGATATGACAAACAAGAAAAGTAGAAAACTATTGGTTTGGAAAATTATGGCTTTAAGAATAAGACCACAGAAATACAATATGGTTCCAGCATTGCATTCTTAAACCAGATTAACAACCTTTCTCATTTGCTCTTCCTAAAAATGAGTAAATCATATAACCACTAAGTAATAAGAACTCTGACATAATATATTTTACGAACACTAAGTAAGCATTAACACGAATTAGATAAAAGTCGTTTCATTAGAAATATAATTAGCTCTGTAACTGTAATCCAAAGAAAAAAACTATCAAATGAACATTATCAGTTTCATTGTATTATGAACCAATATGTTCATTCCTGTGCAAACTCTTGGGTACAGCTGTTGGTATTTTTATCATCTCATGGATAAGAGTATATCCTGAGTCATTCTTATACATCTTAGTTTTGAGCACATGAGAAACCAACAACTAATCCTCAATCCAACAAAAACTTATTGCACCTAAAACCTTCAAAGCGCTATCAATACATCAAACTTAGTAGAGACTTCCAAATAGAGCTGAAAGTCTCCTCGTCTTCCAATTTAAAACACTATATAATAAAGACAAGAGGAGTTTGAATTTCTTATTGTTCATTTTATGAACAAACTGAACTTTTAATGAGAAGTAATATCCCCCCCACCCTCTTCCCCCTTGATCATTAGATACAAAAAGTAGGGACGTCAAATAAAACTGTCCAACATCTCAAATGAAAAAACTGTTTTAAAAAAAGACTTAGAGTCAGTCTCAAACTCACAGCCTAAAGTCCAAGTGCCCATCCTTTATAGCAAAGAAATCACAATATTACCATTCTCCAATACACAAATCTAGCACATATCATAAATTTTTGTCAGAGTTGCCTAATTTCTATTAGACTTGGACCACAAACTAATCTGCACTGAATGTAAGCAGAGCAATTATACTTACTGTGAGCATCCATGTAGCATTTTCCACTTCATGGGGTTTTGACTTCACATAGCGATGGTTGAAAGTACTGCCCATGTGCATGTCAACTTTGTGATCATCTTTTAGATGGGCAACTATATATGGTATGTCACCGATGACAGTGCAGTCTGATCCCGCATAGGGACAATTATAGGGTCTGAAGGAGCATTGGGACTCATGCTTTAGCTTGCTGTAGTAAGGAATGATGCCTATGCATCCAAAGTTCTGGTATTTACATGGGAGTTCAAGAGATGCAGCAACCTTCTCCAACGCAAGACATCGGATATTACCAAGTTCATGCCGACATGTTGGACAGCGATTGTGAACCCTAGGTTTGCAACCAGAACACAGTGTGTGACCGTTGGAACACTGCAAAAAGGGCAAAGAGATAGAGAAGAATTAAATACTGCATATGCAAGAACAAGAGGCAGTGATAATAATCCTTCATAACAAATTGAACAGCTATGCCAAAGAACTAAGGATATCACTCCACTAATTGTTAGTAAGTGTAAATCAGTTCTCTTTTCCAGTTTAAATGGTACTATTGAGAATCAAACAATTTTTCTTTGACACTGACTATTTCAAATACGTTCTAAAAATATTTGACAATATAGAACTGATTTTTTATTACTTTTATACAGTTCCAGAATATGTAAAATTTTATTCGGAAATTAATAAATTAACAACAATGGCCCAGTCCCAAACAAGTCGGGTCAGATTGTAGGTTTATCCAAATAAAATTCATTCCAGATAAACATTAGACCAAATAAAATTAAAATATATCAATGTCCAAAAACCAAACCACCCTTGTAATTTACAACCCACCATTCTTATGAAGATGGAGAAGTATTTGTTTCACTAACTTCTTTAAAAGATAAAAGAGATAAATAGGAACATGTAAGTTAACTTCATCCTACACTATTCTAAAAGAAAAAACTGACGAAACTACCATTTTTCCCTCTAACTTTCTTTCACTTTTTCTTTTCCCATTTGTTTACATGAAGATTCAAACATCTGTAACAGCAAGAGGATAAGAGAACATTATCTTTTTGTATGTAACACTAAGCAAAGGCTAGTAAGGATGTCAGCATTTATCAGCAAGAATTCAGATTTTCACACCTGATGGATGGGTGGATACATAGCATTTAAGCATACAGGGCATTCCAACAATTCACGAACACTACTGGAAACAGTCACATTAGGTTTTGCTGTATGTTGAGCAGGCTCATTCATATGTTCACCAATGTCCATGCAGTCTTCGTTTTGTGGAGGATGAATGACCTCAGGTTGACATCGCAAGTCATCAAAATAAGGACTTACAGTTGTCATTGCTCTTGTAATGCTGTTAATCCCTGCATATGCCGAGTATTCCATCAAATATGGTTATATACCTCCATAGTTGATGATAAAATAAGCATGCAGAAGTTGATAAAAAGATATGTCTTAAATTTTCAGTTACACCTCATATGATGCAAAATAACTCAGTTACTTGAGAGTATATTTGATTTCAGCACACAGGATCCAGAATAATGAACTTTCTCTTATATAATTGTGGTGTCTTGGCCATTTATGGGCACCTCGACTAATTCTACTTGATACCTAGTATTCTTTCCGCTAGGACTTGAACATGAGATCTTGTGTCTTAACCCTCTTCATAAACCACTAGGCCACACCCTTAGGTGCCCCAAAATACTGAACTTTAAAAGACACAAAGCTACTTACACACAACAAAATAACAACACGTGATCCATTACAGCTTCATTGATTTGACCATCAAGCTAAACTCCGAGTTACAGAAAGAAAAGGATATTAAAAAATTCTCTTTATCCAGCAACATCCAAAATATTGTTTTTTACCTTTAGTGATGTGATTAACTCTTAGAGCTCATGGTTCCAACTAACAGAACAAGAAAGTGAGAGAGAAATCCCCATTTAAAAGCAAACGCAATCAATTATTTACACCAAAAAAACAACAGAAAACAATATTAAATTAACCAGGTCTACTTATCTTCATCTGCTTAGGTTCAAAATGGTTTCATTTCTGAAAGCACACTTTAGACTTTCCGGCATTCTTATTTTCACATTGATCTCAACCATGCTCGGGAAATCCTCATCAAGTCTTCTTCAGGTAAAAGCCTCGACAAATGAAGCACTAAATTGACGAACTATTTCAGAATATAGATATGCCGAACACAAAACAGATTGAGCAACAATCCCAAGAGGACACATTCGATACAGTAACACGATCGTCTCTTAACTACACAAGATCACAATCAATTAAGCCAGACATTCTTAAATATAACCACCACTAGGTGAAAATATAAAACAAAAACAAATTCAAAATAATAACTGCAAGATATAATTCTCTCACAAACCCACAAATTAATTCTCTAATAAAACACACAACCCTATCAAAATAATAAAAAAGAAACGAACAGTGGATGATGCCATTCGAGACCTAGGTATGAAATTTTTTTCGAAACCCATGCAAATCCAAATTAGTCTAGCTCTAATGCAGCTATCACACCCCCAACGGAAACCAATAGAAACAAAAACACCTTAAATTCGCAAAAAATATACATAGCATTTTGAACAGGGAAATGAAATATGCATACCTAGGTTTTAAGCTGACGCTGATCTAGAATCTCAAAACCCCATTAAAAATAGGTTAAACCCATGAAGAAGAAGCTAGAAGAGTTGCCATTAACATGAATCTTTTTCAAAAATTCAAAAAATGATAGGATTTCAATTTTTAAAATTTAAAACCCAAAGAGAAGAGAGAGAAATCTCGAGAGAATACAAAGGAGAGAAGAAGAAAATTTGGGGAACTGGAAAATTTAAGGGCCCGCCTGCGTTTGCAAGTTAATGTGAGCTTAAGACAAACAGGGTTTAAGTAAATAGGCAGTGGGCGCCAAATGGGGGTTTGGGTTAAGAAGAAGAGAGATACACTACCCTTAGATTCTTGAATTATTTTTGAATAAATATTTATTTGTGTTCGATATTTAAATTAAATTATAGTATTTAAATATTTATTTCTGTTTACGTAATATTCTTGAAATAATATTATTTTGCTTATTTATTAAACATTAAAAAATAAATAAGGAGTTTTGTTTTCTTTTTTGACAAAAAAAAAATAAAGGCGATTTATTGGTGGACACTTTTTTTTTTGGTTTCGTAATAAAAAGAAAACTTTAAATGAACCAAGTAGATGATTTAATAGTTCTCCTATTCTTTCTACACATTAAGCACTGAGAAACTGGACATAAGTACAGCACATTCCTTCTACGAGTTAATTTACGTGCAACTTAATTAATTTAATAGGACATGTGCCACTTACTCAACAACAAGGTTACTGAAAAAAATATTATGTACTCAAGTTGAACTACTAACTGGCCTATTGTTTTTAATCTAGTTGGCACTAGAAAGTCTTTAATCGACGACTTTTTCTGATGGTATTGCTTTTGTATCGGATATGTATATGTCAGCTTTTTTAAAAATAAAATTTACGTGTTTAACAACTATGAAATTAAAAAATTTTGCTATTAAGTCACAATAATTAATTAAAAATTATTTAATAATTACTTAAATTGAACCTCAACAGTGACCGAGGATTAATCCCCTAACTATTACTTTGTGCTTAATTATTTACCATGTAAATTTATAGTGGAGATTAGTAGTACATGTGAGATGCTGATGAGAAAATCCAAGTATTAGAAGCAGGTCTTGTTGATTCGTACAAAGATGAATAAGAAGCAGAAGCACCAAATGAGTGGTATTTTCTTATTGTTGACGTTCGTTCCGCGAAACCAAGGCACGTAAATCTTGTTCTCTGTACCTTTAATCTTTGTTGTTTCAACAAATGTAGCTGGATTGCTTATAAATATTGAATTGTTTCCTAAATCATGCACGGGGACCCAAATCATTCTGGATTCATCAAGCTTACATACTTGCAACCATTGTCCGTTAAACACAGCTAATAACTCTCCTTCATCACTTTCCGTCATGAAACTCTGGCATCGCTTAGTAGAGAGGCGATTTCTGAGGAAACTGGTTGATCCAACGCGGTTGTGGTTGGTTGTTCGTCTTCATCATCCATGTCGTAAATGACCAGATCTCCTTGTTTGCTCAAACTATAGTAATAACGCCCCTTGTAGAATAAGGAGGGATCCCTAGCATATTCTAATATGTTCCATACACTTTCGAATCGTCTTAGAATGCAAAAGTATATCTTGTCACAGACGTCTGTGCATATGCAAAAAACTAGTAGTAATAGAAAACTTTTCCTATTTCAACAAGGAATATAATTGGGAGATTAATTATGGATGATATTTGTGAAGCTGTTATCATATCCTTGCCTTGTTTTTTCACATGGAATGTATACACAGAAGCAAACATTCTACAGCATATTAAATGGTCGTTACGACACTAAAATCATCCCAAAAATGCAATCGAAAGAGATATGCTACTCTGATCACGGATGGGTACTATTACATGACTATATATCCAACAGATATTCTCTTTTGAATATGATTACGATGAATGAGGAGATTCAACTTCCAAAACACTTACCAGACCCAGTGGGGGCTTACAATTGCAAAATTTTAACTTCACCACCATCTGATTCCAATTGTCGAATCATGTTCATTGATGGTTATTCAGAGCGTTGCATCATGTCATGCAATACTAGTGATAATGATCGTTCTGTCAAACATTACTTCAAAATCATGGGCAATTATGATCATCTGTATGTAGCAATCTATATGAATGGAAAGATTTACGGTATTATGGACTGGTCGTTGCTGATGATCATGATATGATGAACAATTCTAGTAGTTGTATGACTATTCGATTCCACAAACTAATACAAGAATCGTCCCCTAGTAAGACATTTTCATCATTCCTAGCGTCTCCTTACTTGACGGAATGCAATGGAGATCTATTACTCGTCTTGGTGTCATTTTTCACTCATAATGAAAATGTCACTGGAATCAGACTTTTCCGAGAGGACCTTTCAACCAAGGCTTGGACAGAGGTGAAAAGATCACCATGCAATTTTTCTAGACAAAATGCGAGCTTTTTTTCTTTTCAAACTGTGGTGCGGATATCAAAGGAAATTGCATCTATTTCGTAGAGACGGATGATAGAAGCCTCTACACTTATTCCTTGCAAGATCAGAGCATTACCATGACTTTACCTTGCCATATTTCTGCGACATTTACCACTTCAGAATCTGATGATAGTCTCTGGTTCTCCATTCCTCCCATCACCAACAAGAAGAATTTCATTACTTAATTTCTCATGTATTTCGTTATACCATTATTTGAGAAGAGCTAACTGGAGTACGCCTGGAACGACGAACGAGGAGTATGAGAAGAGAATTTCAAAGGTCAGATCGGGTTGGCTGGTAAAGCTTGTGTTCCAGGTCAATAAACTCAATTCTCTGTGACCTCCCACCGTTCACGACATCTCTTGCTTCCGTTTGACTAAGTTCCTTGAAATTGTTTATGGACAATTGGACATGTGCATTTTTTACTAATAAGTACTATAAAATATTTATTTAAATTAGTGACTAAACTTGCAAGTTTGACAAATGGAATAGTCCAGAAGTCCTAGATGTTATTAAACGCAAGTGCATATGATGCAAGACCTTTCACCTATTAGTATGAAGTAAGGGGTAAATCTCGAGATATATGATTCACAAGTTCCAATTTTTCCTATAAGTTCGCCCCAATCTATTTTCATGTAGTATAAATACTATGAGATTTATGTCACCTATCTGAGTCAATTGGAAATGACAATAAGTAATCTATGCATTTATTATTTAAAACCTTTTCATGTTTGATTGATAAAAAATTTTAAAAGTTATTTTTATATTTATATAGGTAATAAAAAATCAAATTCTTTATTAAAACGTTTTAATTAGCCAATGTAAATTTGTGTATTAAACTCTGCAAATCTAATTTAGGGCTTTCCAAACAGATTTTTAATTGAAAGTATTTCTTTTTTAATTATAGTAACTGGTTAGTCCATGGGTCTAACCCTGATTGGTGTGTATACTGACATCACAATACCCAATGGGCAAATAGTAAAAAACAAAGCAGGGCAAATAATAATAGAGCCGTCAATATGGCTAGGCCCGTTGGATCGGCTTGGCCTAACCCGAGATTTAATAGAGTTGAACTAAATTTTTTGAAGTCCATTTAAGAAAAGGACTTTTTAGCCCGGCCTGAATAAGCCTGACGATTTGAAGGGCTTGAGAAATATCGGTAGGGTCAGCCCGTGGGCCAATAAAATTTAATTAAAAAAATAATGTAATATTAAAATTTAAAATTATAGAGAGACCAAACTCAAAAACAATTAGGTTAATACTTTTACTTCAAAAAAAACTTAATAATTTTTTTCTTTTTTGAAAATGTTAACTTACTTAATAAATATTTTAGGCAAAGGTCTGATGGACCCCTATACTTGTACCAGTTTGTATTATGGACCCTTCTACTTACGTCTTTGTCATCTAGACTCTTACACTAAATAAAACACAATATATCAAACCCCTTCGACCATTGACCATACTTATGTGGTATTAAGATGGCTGAGTTGGCAAAAGAGTGAGGCTAAATGCCTATTAAGGCAAGTGAGCAAGTGAACACCATATTTTAATTTAAAAAAAATATTTCAATTATAAGACAATAAAATAATAAACTTAAAAAGAAAAAAAATCCATTCTTTTTCAACCAACCCATATGCTTTGCCCAAACCTTTTTTTTCCTTCCATCAATGATTTGCTACACCAGACTCCAGAGGCGGCGGGGAGCCTCTAAACTTGGTCTTTTGGTACACCGGAGAGGATGGAGAGAGCATAGGGGGTCTCTAGTGGTTCGCATTGGTCGGCAATGGCGAGGAGCTGGTGCGGCCATTTTTCTGGAGGTTGGAGAAGGAGGAAAGAAAAACGGTGAGTATGTGTGACGAAAATGTAGACTAGTGAGAGAGATCATATTTGTAGTTTCGCCGACAAGAGGAGCGGCAGCAACAACACTTTCTTCGGCAGTTGGGCCACTCCACTGTGAAAATGGATGATGATGCTAGGAAACCCAAACATTTAATTTAAAATAATAAATTAAAATTCAATTTGTCAAAATTGCATCAAATTTTATGATTTTTCTTTTGTCAAAAAATATATTATTATAAACAGGATAAAAAGATGAAGTGGCAAATCTTATCTGATATGGAGTGTGACATCAGCGCGATTGAGAGTCACAATGTGTTGAAAGGGTTCAACTGATTTAGTTTAGACGGGTTCAGGTGTCCAGATGACAAAGAAGTAAGGAGAAGGGTTCATAATACAAATGCATACAAGCGCAAGGGTCCACCAGACCATTTTGCCAATATTTTATAAAGACAATTTTATTTGTGAATTTAATTAATAAGTAGTAACATTAAAATCATGTAATATTGTTTTGTCAATATTTATGATAATATTTTTAAATTATAATTTATAAATTAAATTAATACCTGTATAAAAAAATATAATTTTTTAAAAAATGGGTTGGCCCAACAAGCCTGTAGCCCACGTACTTATGGGTTGGGCCGACCATTTTCTAGCGCACACAAAAAAATGGGCTAGTCCGATCTGACCCTTAAAATGTCAAAGCCCGAATAAGTTAGTCCGATAGGGGTGGGCTAGCCCATATTGACATCTCTAAATAATAGTAGTAATAATTTTATTTATAACAAAAAACAAAGGGTTAAAAAAAAGAGTGATGTGACAACATATGTACGAATAGATGAAAAAGTCATCCAATGGTTGTGGTGCTTCCGAGGTGGAAATTCCAGAAATAGCTTTCTTTAGGTTGTACTTGTAGATTACTGAGAAACTGAAACTCCAAAAA